AATGCTGATGCTCCTAGAATGATGCTGTGATATAGGGGTCAAAATTTAGGGTATAAGAATCACGTCACTTGTAAATTTGCTTCAAATTTTTCTCTGAGGCCACACTCAAGAGGGGATGCGGATGTTTTGTCACTTGTGTTTGACAAGGGATGCTCGACATATTAGAATCTGGAAGGTTGATAGGACTTGAAGAGATAAATGCTTCGTCCCCTCAAGCCACGTGTCACAATTATCAAATGTGTAATGATGACCTATGAATAGGGGTAATTATGAGCCAAAATAGAGATATGCTTTCCCATATAGTGGAGCCGGCTAATAAATAGGAAGAAGTGGAGGGACATTTGCATAGTTTGCTTTCTCCTTCCCTCCATTTTTCCTCTAAGTTGCAGAGCATCGCCGCCGCCACTTGTCGTTGTCGTTGTCATCAACCTTCGTCGCTCTCCAAAATCAAGTAATTTTTCCTTTTCCCATGGATTGCATGTTGATGTTAGTTCTAGGATATTGATTTTCCTTCTCTTTATGTTTGGTTTTGGTGGGTGTTGAAGTTTGGTGGTGGTTTGGCCATTCCCAAACGCCAGCTATTGAGGGGTTTTTATGCTAGAACCACATTTTTCAAGTAGGAAAGTTAGTGTTTTGCATGTTATATCTTCTGATAACCACTTCGGCGCCACCGTTAAGGCAGTGAATAAAACTTGCGCTGGTGGAGCTCATGAATTTATTGATGAAGCTTCGTGTCAAGGAGCCTCTTCCCCATGGTTTTGTTCGTGATTCGACTGAGTTCTGTGTCGAGAAGATGGTTCTCGCGATTTTCTTGTCGTTGAATAAAGACTTTGGTCGAGGGCAACATCCTCGTGCCTCTCTTCACCCTTTCACTTGATTTGTAGTGGAAGGGTGGATTTGATTTGATCATCGAATTCACTATTGTCCGCTGCTTTTCAGGTTTGTATGGCTCATAGCGCCGAGGGTCTTCGTTTGGTCGACACAATTAATGATCCCGAATTAGATTGAGTCGGGCCGGAACCTCGAGGAATAGCCTCGCGTTTTGCTGACTTCCCAGAGAGTGCGTTTACGATCGTAGAAGGAGGCACAGGGTACCAAGAGGCTCCGGAGAACTGGGCGGTTTATAAGACTGAGCGGGAGGAACAAGTTTGCTCGTGTTTCTCGGGGAACCATTTTTCTACGTATGAGTATACCTTCAAAGAGTTGGGGCTTTAGTTTCCATTCAGCAGTCTTTAAGTGGGCATTTTTTATCGGTTGAATGCCTTTGCTTGCTCGTGTATGCCTTTGCTTGCTTGTATGCTTTGTTTACCAAGTATTTATTTTCCTCGGTTAGCTGTTCTGGATGCTCGTCAATTTGAGCTGCATGTAACAAGATGTTTGTTTGCAAGTTATTTTTGCTGAGTAATTAGGTTTTTTTTCCCGAGAGCGTTATTACTCGACAGTGTAGGGAACTTGTCGAGTGACTGGAGTTGAGTTCCGTACTGATAGCGGAGGAAAGATCTCGGTCGGGATCTTAGCTCTGTGGCGTGAACCTCCGATTGCGAGCTGGGTGTTCTGCCTTAACGGTACGACGATGGTGGAGTTCGGCTGAGGTTTCCCCGTCGGGCCAAGAGTCTGCTTGTTAAAGAGTGGAAACTTACCTTTTTGTTTAAGTTTGAGACACTGCGCTTGTACTTGAGCACGCCTCTATGGTTAGGACGTACCTTGTTGTCGCCGAATGGGGTACGCCGACTGTCAGGCCTAACTGTAATATTGTTTCATTTTCTCGGCGTTCCATAGTCAAACAAGTTCTTTCCCGTGCAAGTTTCCGAGGTAGTTGGTCCCATTCTCCGTTTTTGCTTGGACGCGATAAGAGCCTTCCCAGTTCACGACAAGTTTTCCCTCGCGATAATCTTTGTGATTTCTCACAAGACTAGGCTGCCGATTTTAAATTCTCGTTTTATGACTTTGGCGTCATGTCGTATGGTTATGTTTTGTTTTAATGAGACTTCACGGAGGGTTGCCCATGTCAAATTTATTCGATAAGGTCGAGCTCTTCTCTTAGTGTCTCATCGTTCATCTCCTCGTCGATGGGGAATTCAGTTTTCCTAGAGGATTCTTTAATATCCACTGGGACTACTGCCTCGGTCCCGTAGGCTAGTCGGAACGGAGTTTCCCCAGTGGTTGAGTATGGTGTCGTTCTGTAGGCCTATAGTATGTTGTGTAGCTCATCGATCCATTTCTTTTTGGCCTTGCTTAATATTCGTTTTAACCCTCGTAAGATCACTTTTTTCGCAGCTTCGGCCTGCCCATTTGTTTGTGGGTGCTCGACAGATGTGAAATGTTGTTTGGTGCCCAGTTTGGTGACGAATTCCTAGAAATGTTTGTTGGTGAACTACGTCCCGTTGTCAGTGATGAGTGCTTGTGGTATGCCGAATCAGGAAAGTATGTTTCTCTTATAGAAATGAAGTATATTGTGTGCCGTGATTTTGGCGAGGGCTTCCGCTTCTATCCACTTTGTGAAATAATCCACACCGACTATCAGGTACTTATTATGGTTTGACCCTGTCATAAACGGCCCGAGGATGTCCATTCCCCACCAGGCGAAGGGCCATAGAGACGAGATAGTTTTAAGCTTGTTGAACGGTGCCAAGTGCATGTCTCCGTGGCGTTGGTATTAATCGTATTTTTTGACATGTTCTTTTGCGCCGTGTTGCATGGTGGGTCAGTAGTATCCTGTTTGCAGGACCTTCTGGGCGAGGGATCTTCCTCTGAGGTATTGGCCGTTGATTCCTTCATGAATTTCGTGTAGGATGTCAGCGACCTTGGATTCCTCGACACACTTGAGGAGATGGATGGAGAATCCCCGTATGTATAACTTGTTCTCGACCAAGACGTAGGTGCAAGATCCGCGCCTGATCATGTTATCCTCTTTTTGGTCGGGGGTAGTTCCCCTGTTGCAAGGTAGTTATATACCGATGTCATCTAACAACCGCTGTTTTCGATGACGTTTATGTCGAGAGTTGTAGAGGGTCTTCCGATGCTCGGGTGGGAAAGTATCTCTTGGATGACAGACTTGTTTTCGCCTTTCTTTTTTGTGCTCGCGAGTTTTGACAGGATGTCTGCTCGGGTATTGTGCTCGTGAGGAACATGTTTTACTTTTGTGGAATCAAATTTTGTTATTCTTTCTCGAACCAGAGCTAAGTACTCAGATAGATTGTCTTTCTTGACTTGATATTCTCCCAGTACTTAAGAGGCGACGAGCTGGGAATCAGTGAAGATTCCCTCCTTGTTTTCAATGATGATGCCTCCTCCGCTTCCTGTCGAGCTGGATGCTCCATCTATGAAGATGATCCACTTATGGGCTCAATTTGCCGGGGAGGCAGGCGTGGCCATTTTTGCCACGAATTCGACCAGTCATTGAGCTTTAAGGGCATTTCTGCTCTCGTATCGGATGTCAAATTCAGAGAGTTCCAATGACCATTTGAGTATTCTGCCAGCCATGTCAGGACGGCTGTGCAACTGTTTTACGGGTTGATCAGTTTGCACCACGATCGTGTGAGATAGAAAGTAATATCTCAGTCTTCTTACCGCATTGATGAAGGCCATAACTACTTTTTTGATTTGTTGTATCTGAGTTTTGGGCCTTGCATGGCCTTGCTAGTGAAGTATGTGAGTTTCTTCTCCACGAGGGTCTCGCGAATGAGAGCCGTGTTGATGGCCTCGACTGCAATAACGAGGTAAAGGTAGAGAGTCTCCCCGTTGTCTGGTTGCGAGAGGACTTGTGGTTGTGAAAGAGCTCGTTTGAGGTGGAGGAGGGCTTGTTCGCACTCCTCGGTGCATTCGAATGTTGCTTCCTTGCAAAGAAGTTTGAAAATATATGTTGTTAATTGCAAATGTTATTTTTAAATTAATGAATGTATCTTAATAATTTTTTTTTGTAAATGAGAACAAGTGTTTTTTTATAAATAATGTCAAAACAAAAATAATATTACATACAAGAAAATATACGTTCATCCAAATATTTTTATATATGAAATAATTATATTTATGATCCACATATAAATCAAAATATATATTTTTTGGGTAAAAACTTTATTTTTTCTTCTTTACATTCTTATTATATTTTAAAAACAAATGTGCATAACACATTAATACCCGTGCGAACGTACGAGTATCCTACTAATTTTATACTCGAAATAATACGAGAAAGGTATTTTTATTTTTTTTATTAAAATGCGAGATAATTCATAAAGGTGCGATAAACCATTCTATGCGGGGCCGGTCCAACCCGCTTAGACGCCTAATTTTTTTATTTTTAAAATGAGGTCTTCAAAATAAATAAATAAAATCAAATTTTGTATTTAACAAGAGTTGAACTAAAGACCTAAAAGATACAAGATTTCTCTTTTACCAACTCAATAATGAGATTTTATATAAGAAATATGTCATTTAAAGTATTTATGACCAAATTAAAAAATTTAAAGCTTTTTTATAATTCAAAATTTTGAAACATAAAACCCTTGTTTAAGTGGCCTTATCCTTAGGTTGACCTTGATTCTATGTCTAATGTATCTCACTTAAAAAATCTTTGTATAAATTAAAAGAGAGCACAAAACAATAATATGTATCAACGAAGCGATTAAGAAAGAATTGCGAAGTACAAATATTCAAAATACGATTTTTACACCCAGACAACAACATTGATAATAATTTAAAAAAAATAAAAATAAAACATATAATCGTAAATATCAATGTTGATGACGGACACACACAAAGTAATATACATGCATGCATTTTTTTTCAAAGGTGCGGCTATTTCCAATTTTGCCACTGAAAGTCCTAAAACCATAAAACGTACAAAGGAAGTCGTTAGTGTTCAAAGCCCTTCTTTTGCCTTTCATTTTCCAGTCACAACATCACAACCCAAAAAAAAAAAAAAAAAATCACATAAAATAACCCATTCATAGCGGTTATTCATCTCTCCAAATTCAAATTCCATCCCCAATCCCAAACTCCCAATGACAGAGCAAACCAAGTTCAGCGTATTATGCAGTCTCTTAACATGGACACAGCGAACCAAATCGCCGCCGAAGAAACGCGCCAAGTTCCGCAAGTTTCTCGGCTCTTTCTGCCCCGATCGGAACTACTTCCCCGCTATTCGTCTCATTCTCCCTAACCTTGATCGTGAACGCGGCTCCTATGGTCTCAAAGAGTCCGTTCTCGCTACTTCACTCATTGACGCTCTTGGAATGTCCAAGGATTCCCCCGATGCTCTTCGGCTTATCAATTGGCGGAAAGGCGGTTCCAAAACTGGTGCTAATGCCGGTAATTTCGCACTTGTCGCCGCCGAGGTTATCTTCTATTACCTTTCTTACTTATTATAAGCTTCCTTTACTAATTTCCAGAACTAGTAACATTTAGTATTAAGAAAAATAGTACCGTATTTAGCGTATGTTAGAAATAATTTTGAGTGAATTGATTCTAGTTTAAAGGGAGTTGAATGTAAATGGATTAAAAGTGACTTGAATATAAATTTATGTTTGAACAACTTTATACCAAATTGAAATTGAGTTGAAGGTAAATTTCAATGTGAAAATCAAGTTTAAACTCAAAAGTTACAAATAAGAATTCGGAATCAATTCTACTTTAGAAGAACTAAACATCTCAAAATCATTCTAAAATCAATTCTAGGCCTCAGAAATAGTAACACGTCTAGGATGACGATAATTGATTCTGAGTGAATTAATTTTGTAGAATTGATTTTGATTAAAAGTGAGTTGAATGTAAAGTGATTTATGTTTGGATATATTTATGTAAAAGGGAGTTGGACAACAAGTTTCGGTGTAAAAATCACGTTTAAACTCAAAAGTTATAAATTATAGTTTCTAGTAGAATTAGTTCTGGAGGCAGAATCAATTCTACTTTAGAAGAACCAAACACCTCAAAATCATTTTAAAATCAATTCTGCATATTTAAAATTGCTTTTGACTCTTCCAAAAGCTAAACCAAATATACACGTAGTAGTATTAAGAAAAATAGTAATGTATTTAATGTGTTCATTTTATGCACCAGTGTTCCTAAAACTTTGACTTTTTATCCCAAGATAGTTAGTAGTATTAATTAGAATATATTTGAAAATAACAATAAATTTGTCTGATAGTTTGGAATGTGATTTAATATTAAGGAACATTTTAATAAAAGGAGATTTACATTTAGGGATGGAGGTAGTGTTTTTATTTATTCTTTTGTTATCATTCATTCATTCAACTTTACTTCCTTGTGATGAGATTTACTTTGAATTTTACTAATTATTTAGGGTTTTGTATTGTGATTGTTTATTGCTTTTGTAAATGATGTTGTTTTGTTGTTGTTGCTGAAAATGGAGTGTTGTTGTTTATGAAACAGGTGCTGCAGCTTAGACAAGGTACTGCTTCGGGTGGATTGACAATAAAGGAGTTGAATGACTTGCTTGATCAATTGTCTTCAAGTGAAAACAGGTTTATGGTTTCTGTTTTGATTGTTTCTTTGATTTGTTATCTATATGCTATGTGCTATGTGCTATGTTTGTTAGTCCTTTGCTTTTTTTGGATGTGCGTGGTTGCATTCGCATGCCTAAGGTCTTGAATATGATCAATTTTGGCAGGAACTTTGATAACAGTGTAATTGGACTTCAAAATAGAACTATGAAACTGATTTACTTGTTGGTGCCAATGGGATAAATTAATTAGTACCACTTTGCAGATGGGATTGGAAAATGAACATGATTGTTTACACTTTCACGATGCTTCAATGTTTGCCGTGTTTTAGAAATGCCCTGTTTTGTAAAACTATTATTGCCTGTGTATTAAACGTGAAAACATTTTGCAGTATATTGAACCGGAAGACCTTATCTCCATGCATTCATATCTAATATGTTGCTATCATAATATAAGCTAAATTGGTGAAGTTGAAATGTTCAAACAGTCTTACCATCTGGTTCACCGTTCTGTATGTAGTTTTTATTTAATATCGTTCTTGTATGGGGTGACTATGGTTACAGGGGTGAGAAGACTTTGGTTCTTTCAACCCTTATCCAAAAGACAAACGCACAGGAAATGAAGTGGATTATCATGATAATCCTGAAAGGTGTTTTTCATTTGCACTAGTAAATCAATTTAATACCTTAAATAAATCTCAGGCAGTTAACTAAATTTCATCGCAGATTTGAAGCTGGGAATTAGTGAAAAAAGCATTTTTCATGAATTCCATCCAGATGCTGAAGACTTGTTTAATGTTACATGTGACTTAAAATTAGTTTGTGAAAAACTAAGGGATAGGAACCAACGTCATAAGCGGCAGGTTAGTTGTAGTTTAAATTATTTTTCAAACTCTATATAGCTTAAAGAGTACTTCATCTCCAGAGCATATATGTGAATTGATTGTTGTCCATCTTGACATTAAAGCTTGTTCAAAAGCCTACTTTCTCGTAAGGTTTTTAAATTGGCCTGAATCCTAACTTTGAATAGGCTGAGGCCATGTTAGACTTAATTCAAGAAACAGAGAGCTGCTTTATCTATTTCCACCTTTTTTTTCTCTGAATTATTTGCCATGGAAAATAAAGATAAACATATATATTTAGAAGTTCCTAACAGAAAGCTGTTTCGTACACGTACATGACTTCTTTTTTTTGTAGGATATTGAAGTTGGAAAAGCTGTGCGTCCTCAATTAGCTAAGAGAGTTGCTAACGCAGCTGAAGCATGGAAGAAGGTTTGCTTCACTCTGCCTTTTAATCATCACTTGTTAAAATAAAATGGGAAACATTTTGCCACATTCAGGTTGGAAAATCTTAAGTGGCATGCTACGTAAACAAAGGAGCATTCAATTGTTGTTCATCCTTATTCTCTCCGCACATAAATAATTTTTTTATTTATTAATTTATGTTTTTACTGTTTTTGCTTCTCTTTAGTTGCTAAAACATGAATTAGACATTTTCATAGTATTGTTTACTCAGTAAAGGAAACATTTGTCTAACTATGCCAAGACACTTCAACCAAGCTTTCTATGATGTGCATATCATCTTCCTTTCCACTGCCTCTCCAAACTTCATATGAGCCGTTCCTGATATGGAATTTCTTACTTTTCATAGAACTATTTGTAAGGCCACAGTCTACCTCCTCTTTGAGGCATTGCACTTTAATTCAGTGTTTAACTAGATTAACACCTTTTGTGGTCTCTAGCTTTATCATGATTAAACTCAACCCGTCTTTCCCCATCAAGCATGTGAACAAACCTGGAACGAGGACAGAATTTTTCCTAATTATTCAATGAGATAGTACACTGAAAATATTTAAAGCCAATATTTACATTTTTATGGCTCAGCAAAGAATCATAGATATTCTCTCCCTTTCCATAAGAATAGCTGAAATTCTATCGTTAAATATCCTCCTTTTTATCCTCTGACCTCCTCAAAATATACTTGTTCCCTCTAAATCAACCTCTATGTATTCTGTGTTTCAGCTGGGTCTTTGGCTCTAGGCTAAACCTTTAAACTTCCAATGCTGTGAATTTGTTAAGATCTACATTTCAAAATGTTACTGCAACTATTATGGCTGATCACTTCTATATCCAACATACTTGGGAAATGATATTAGTTTTCTAGGGGGTGTCAGTTAGGATACTTTTTCTTTCAACCACTTCTATCAACTCTGCAATTAGGTTAAAAGTTACTGATTTTTGAAATTTCTACTCCAACAGTCCACTCTAACATGTCTGTCCATAGATCTCTGCCACAGGATGAAATTTAAATCCACCAATTTGAATAATGAACTATGAATTTCTAGAATGAAATGGAATCTGTTTTTCTAATTGGTATAATATTTACAAAGTATCTCAGGGTGGGAGGATGAGGCATAATGCAGTTCGATGGTTTGTTCTTTTTTGTTTGTTATTTTAGATATAGTTGTTATCTTGTTTTTAGGGATCTTAACTTTTTTAGGAATCTATAATCATATTTTATTCTGAGGGATTTTATTCTATCTTTAATGAGGTTGTTTCCTTATTTGATTAGTGTAATTAGGATTCTAGTACTTAACCAAACTCATAAACTAGGGCTTATGCTCCGTCTTCTTCTGGATCACGTCATTAATCCCTGTTTGAATATAATAGATATCATTGAAAATTTCTTTCTTTTCCTCCTCTATACCATAGCGAATTGATTAGTTGGATATTTATCACTAACTTTTTTTATATATTTTTTTTATTATTTTTTTATTTTTTTTATGTTTCCTTTTATTTAGCTTCATGGTAAGGAAGTAGTTGCTGAGTGCAAATTTGACGGTGATCGCATTCAAATTCATAAAAATGGAACTGAGATACATTTCTTCTCAAGGTAAGTGCACTTGTGTATTTTGTAACAATGTTATTGTTTTTACATCAGACAGAGGCTCTTTTATGTCAAGAGGATTCTTGCTTTTACACCACCTTCCCAGTTTGTATATGTGCGTGTTTGTATGTTACTTTGATCTTAAAAAGATAAAAATGCTCGGTGAAATGTTTTATAGTTAAATATAGGGCTGCTCATAAAGTGAAGAAGCCAGCAGGTTAGTATGATATGATATGGCAGTTGTTCTTTGTTTCTTGTGGGTGTTTCTTTATACCTAGGTATTTCTGAAAATGTCTTACTGTTATGCGCAGTATTTTTTCACTGATTGTTGCCCAAATAGGTGTTCTGTTATTTACATTGTCACCCATGATTGCAGGAACTTTCTTGATCATTCTGAATATGCACATGCGATGTCAGAAATCATAATACAAAATATTCTTGTAGATAGGTGAGAATGTTTCCTGTAGTATAGTTATGTTCCTGTCAAATGATTTCCTATTCTTTTAATCTTCATGATGGGCAATGTAACTGTATTTTGGAGGTGTCTGTGTGTGACATTAAACATATAGCAACAAGGTTGATGTGGGTTTTTTTTTGGATTTTAAAATTAATATATACAAAAATTGGAATAACAAGGGTCATGTTCAAGAACACTCATCCAGTATCCACTATCAAGAGTGATGTCCTGATATGTTAGAGGATATAGAAAATATCTTATATCTTGATCTTTGACTATCTAGTATTATCTCTTAAAAAATATTGTCATGGACGACAGAGTGTTTGATTTGATCTCTAACAACCATTTACGGCTGAGAAAGCATTGCAAACTGGCTGTTGACTGTGTGAGCTTGGGAGGATGATATATCTTCAACTTTTGGTTCTAATGATGGGGAGAATGTTGCGGGTGGTAGTTATATCAATTGTTTTGGCTGACACTCTGATCGTGGTTCGGTAGCCAGACAATTGGATATGGGTCAGTGTTTATGGCTTCCAAAACCCTAAAACCGAACGAGTGAAACAATATGAAAAGTGTTCTAGCACTTGGGGAACCCTTCCTAAAAGCTAGCAATCAGGGGGAACAGCCAAGCCACTTAAATATTCCACCGAGCATCTCATATTATTTGATGTGGGACTTGCGCACCCCATAATACCCAATTCTCTATCGTAGCACTGTTCTTGAAAGCTGATGTCTCAACTGCTGCACCTTTACAATGCTTTCATCGGCTTTTCCAGTTAGCCCTTCTGTAGGTAGCACTTTCATAACCGATGACAACCAGCTCTAATACCAATAAGTATTCAAGTGTGAAACCCTCCCTTAAAAGCTAGTTATCAGGGGGAAAATCCAAGCCACGTTAAGATTCCACCAAGCGCGAGCATCCCATGCTTACTTAATTTGGCACTTGAGCACCCTATAATACCCAAGTCCCTATCACAAAACAAGAAAACGGGAAATGAACCACATCTTCGATGCAAGCTGAATGTTTTAGAGTGAATAACTTGCATTACATAGTAGAATTATACAAATATGCATGCAAGAGAATCTCTCAAATTAACGAGAAATAGGAATCTATATCAGGGATAATCAATGATCATTATCCAAATTTATTCTTTTCTAAAAAATAGAAGACACTCCACTATTTTAGAAAGGGGATCCTCCGCCAGTTTTTTTTATTCCTACAATATGCAATTTTCTATTAAAATTATTATTGTATCATTATGAATTTATGAAGAGTGTATATGTGTGTGAAAAAACTTATCTATTTTTTTGTTTTTGATCTTATGATCTTATTTAGATGCATACTTGATGGTGAAATGTTGGTCTGGGATACATCCTTGAATCGTTTTGCTGAGTTTGGCTCTAATCAGGAAATAGGCATGTACTTTAATGTCCCAGCCACTGTAAAGCCTTAATTTTCAGTAGCATTAGCCAATTAATATTTTCTTTTCTTGGCAGCCAAGGCAGCAAGGGATGGACTTGATAGTAATAGACAGGTTCTCAATTTTGGATCTTCTTTATCTTAATTTTTGAGAAACTGTAGTTCTAATTATTTTTTGTTCTTTCTTGTTGCAGTTATGCTGTATCCTTGTCTCTGAACAGTTCAGCTATAAATTTCATCTATCAGTAAATGTGTTGTGAATTGGTTTCAATGATAGAATGAGTATCTAAATCTGTATATATTATGAAAATTTCTAATGGAAGAAAGTTTATATCCAATATGCCTTGACTCAAGAATGGTTAGACATTGCATTTGATATCCTTTATTTTGGAGATACTAGTGTAATTCACCAAACTTTAAAGGAGCGGCATGAAATTCTACGTAAAGTTGTGAGGCCATTGAATGGTCGTTTGGAAATTTTACTACCTAATAACGGGGGTATCAACAGTCATCGGCCTTCTGGTAAGATTTTCTCAGGAGCAATTTGTCTTGTCATGCATGCTTACTATACCAAAAGACTTTTCCTTGCATGTTAGCAATTATTCATCCAATCCTGTTGGCTACTGATTGGTTAAGTATTCTTTTTGTTTTGGCATCATATTGTCGTTGTTATTGATATCTTATCTAGTTGTTGACTCAGCTCTCTGATCTAGCAATAGGTGGGCAAAGTTAGATTTGGTTCTTTTTCCTTACTGTTTATAATGTCTAAGTGGATATAATTTGCTCGTTTACTTCACTCCAGCTCTAATGACGGCTTATTGGTCATGTGGTCTGAGTTGAACTTTTTCTGGAGAATGTGAAGGAAATTTATATTCTACAACATTTTTAATGAATTGTGATACGCTTTTCTAGTTGCAAATCAAGGAAAGAGATAGAAAATTTCACGAGATTTGGTGACTCTAATCAGTGTAATCATTAACAGTCATAATCCTTGTGCAATAGCATTTACTATTGAACTAATTTGGATTTTACTAAAAGACTAAATTTAATTTCGATTTCCATTGCCTGGTATGTGTCTTGCATAAATGAGGTGGCCCAACAGTTGTTTCTTAAATCTGTTTAGTTAGTAAAATTTCAATTATTTTCTTCATATTACTGTGAAGTGCATTCTCAATGGAGATAACTAATATCATTGTAATAGATAATATCAACGCACAAATCTTTTTATTCTCCTTCTATCATTTCATCACTCTTTTCTATTTACTTTTATAAATCTTTTTTGATTTATTTTTGTTATCGTTGCCTATGAATCTTATTGCTTTGAACTTTTGTAGCAATAAGAGCAGGGAATGCCCCTGTGAAGATAAAAATATTTTTTCATAAATATGTCTTTATATTTTATAATTTAAATTGGTTCTTTCTAGAGATAAAAATAATTTATAATTTTTTCATGAATTGATCTTAATTACAAAATAATTAAGAGATAAGATATTGTTAATATTTATTATCATCTCATAGTTGAGTTTAATTTCTAGGAAAAAGGAGTCAATAAATTCTGAATTATTTTAATTTTGCACATTTAATTTGAGGCAACCGTTTTAAATGGGTGATGGATGATGGTAATATCTTCCCTTCTCATCAAAAGGGTGTAAATGACTACAAATGGAAAATTGAAATGTAAATGTATTCACATATTTATTTGTTCAGTGATGCAATGAGTTAGCATATGCTCATATAACAAGTGATGACCATGTGCCATATGCAGGTGAACCATGTTGGTCACTTATTGCTCAAAATGCGGATGAAGTTGAAAGATTTTTCAAAGAAACAATTGAAAATAGGTGAGCAAAAATATATTTGGATATTTAAAACAGTAACCTTTTTTATTTATTTAATAAAACAAATTTTTTTCCTTGTGATTTATCTTAATGCAATGTAAACTAGGGTGGTTTAGAATGCCTCAAACACTTGATAGCTATTTCATATTTCTAGCTAAAGATTCCACAGTTAAACATGATAAATGAACTAAAGAAGAATAGTCATAATCTAGCAATAAATGGATTTAGGACAATAGCGGCTCAGCTCTGGTTCTTTAGTGTTTTCCTTTTTCAGGTCTTAGCAAGGTTGACTACACTGCTCTTTCGACTATATTTGTGTGAAGAATATGATTATTTTCCTTTGATTCTAAAATATAGCTTTAATAAAAGAAGAAAAAAAGAATAAAATGGATGTGCTTCTTAAGAATTTTATTTATCTCCTTTACTTAGAGATGAAGGAATTGTAGTAAAAGACCTCAGCTCCAAATGGGAACCCAGTGACCGCAGTGGAAAATGGCTGAAATTGAAGCCTGAATACGTACAAGCTGGCTCTGATCTGGATGTACTTATCATAGGTTTATATGATTTGTATTTTTAAATTTAACAGTTATGTACATTTTGGAGTAGCTTGGTTAACAAAGTTATCTTGATTTTTCTGTTTTTGATGATTTCTAGGTGGCTACTATGGTTCCGGACGACATGGGGGAGAGGTTTCATCATTATTTTCTAGCAATTGACTTTGTTACAAATTATTTTGTAAAATGTACTTATAGAGGCATATTTTTTTTTCATTACAGGTTGCTCAATTCTTGGTGGGCCTTGCAGAGCGTCCATCTCCAAATACACATCCCAAGCGGTATAAATGTTTTAGAGTGTAATTATATATTTTATTCTTTTTAATATTTCAAATTTTGGTTCTGTTCTATCTTAAATTTCGGTTTAACTTGTGGTTTCTTGTTCTTTAGATATGACCAATTTTAGTCCTTATCGTTCAAATGATTATGTCAAGTGCTGATGTGGCAAGTAGATTTGCTACATCTCAATGCATAATCTGTTCAAAAATTGCAAGGCTATAGCTTGACATGTTATTTTAACGTTTATTTCGTATCAACGTCTTAAACTAGTCATTTGGCCTATGTTTAAATAGACAAATTTGCTAATAGGCCTGTTAAGAGTTCCACATTGGAAAGGGTATAGCCTGAAAATATGTTTATAAGTGGTGAACAATCTTCACTCTACAAGACAATTTTGTAAGAATCTGTTAGGTCTAATAGGCCTGTTAAGAGTTCCACATCGGAAAGGATATAGCCTGAATATGTCTAATAGGCCCGTTAAGAGTTCCACGTTGGAAAGGATATAGCCTGAAAATATGTTTATAAGTGGTGGACAATCTTCACTCTACAAGACAGTTTTGTAAGAATGTGTTAGGTCTAATATAATAACCTACACCACTCGAGTCACGATCAAGATGTTCAGTCTTGGACGTGAGGTGTGTGTTAAGAGTCCTACGTTGGAAAGGACTGTGCCTGAAAATATGTCTATAAGCTGATTTTGTAAGGTTAACTTAGATCCAACCCAAATTCATAGGAGGCCAACAAGATTAAGTTCTATTTGTAATATAAAAATTAAAAACAGTACTACTAGTGATTAAAAAAGGTAGGACAAACTGAGTTAGTCTCCCATTAGAAAAGATATGGCCTGAAAATATGTTTATAAGTGGCGGTGGACTTTCGTCATTCCTTGCCCTACAACCCGGTTTTATAAGGTTGAGTTAGGTCCAACCTAAATTCTAAGAAGGCTAACAATGTTAACTTTTATTTATAAGAATATAAAAGTTAAAAACACTACTACTAATAGGCATGAGACAGAGATAAAAAAATGATAGGACAAATTGAGTTTTATAAGATCTAACTCTGATTTATTTGTATGATATAAAATTTTGGAGGTCTAACATGACATTTTAGAGTCTGATCTTATATGATTGTCTAGAATTTAGTTTCACTATAATGGGCCTTCTTTGTGGTTTGATATCATGTAACACATAATATAGCTCTAGCTTATCTGATCAGCTGGACCTAACTAAGGACCCTATCAAAACCATTGCAATTTTCTGTGTTTCATTTTGTTTTTATACTGATAGAGAAGTAGGGCACCTCTTTCAGGATAAATAGAAACTTGTTTTACTTAGGAGACCAGCTTGCTTTAAGGTATGTGCATAGTTATCTATGCATCTTTCTATTAATATTGTCCTGTTTTGTTTTTTTGCAGATTTGTCTCCTTTTGCAGAGTTGGTACTGGACTTTCTGATGATGAGCTTGAAGCAGTAGTAAACAAACTGAAACCTTACTTCAGGTTGGTTATATTGGGAAAAACCTAAATCTTACGTTGAAAAGAGATAAGATAAGGTCTGGAAATATAAATAAAATGCACCCGTCATGATACAAAAACCTAATATGGTATCAAAATCTATCTATTCGGGCCACGACCAAATTATTCCCGTACCTAGCTCAACTGTGCTGGGTGTGAGGGGTGTACTGAAATAGGCTCAGTTGTTACGCTGAAAAGAGGTAAAACTTGAAAATAATTTGTAAAGAGGAGGCACCCATTAGTTCACAAATTGGTTTTGTAAGGATGAACTAGTCCCTATATAAAAATCTTGTAGGTTTTATGTGTTTCAAATTTATTCATGAGGTAATATCTCATTAGTTTTGTTGTGTCTTAGTTGTCTTTATTTTCTGGTATTTAAGCAGAAAAATTTAAATTATGTATTCAATCAAATATCTTCAGCTTTTAGTTTAAGTCTGCCTTCCCTCTCTCCCTCTCAGAAAGTATGAGTATCCAAAGAAGAGGCCACCAAGTTTTTATCAAGTTACTAATCATTCCAAAGAAAGACCTGATGTGTGGGTTGATAGCCCTGAAAAGTGAGTATTTTAAACATACGTTTGAACTCTGAATTACATATCGCTTGAATTTTTTCAATGTTGATCCATGTTTACTGTTCTCTTTATGCAGATCAATTATTCTGTCTATAACCAGTGATATCCGAACTATAGAATCTGAGGTGTGGTCTTGAAAATACAGTGTCTATCGGAGTTTGGAAGAGTTGTAGTCTATGCAGTCTTTCTTGTCTCTTGATCTGCACAGTTTTAATCTGAATGATTATATTTGCAGGTATTCTCTGCACCTTACTGTTTGAGATTTCCTCGGATTGACAGAGTGAGATATGACAAGGCTTGGCACGAATGCCTTGATGTACAATGTAAGGGATTTACAAAACATGTTGCATATTCATTGGTGATTTTCCTATAAGGTTAATTCATTTATTTCCTCCCTTTGCAGCATTTATAGAATTGGTGCAATCTAGCAATGGTACCACACAGAGGGATACAGAATACGGGAACAAGAAGGGCAGTAAACAAAAACACATGAAATCCTCTATAAAGGGAGAAAAGAAAAATGTGTTAATTGTTCCTTCTCATTTAAGTCAAACAGATGTTTCCAGTGTTAAGGGAGGTTCCTTAATGTTTTCAAATATGATGTTCTGTATCCTGGGAAACCTTGCAAGCTACTAATCATTTGTCCTGCTGATTTTATATATTAGAAATATGCTTTTATACCTTTTTTTTTTTTTTTTTGCAAATTACAGCGTTGTTATAAATGTTTCCAACCCTAACTATTAGGATAAGGCTTGGTTGTTATTATGGTAGTCAAATGGCGTGGTGAATTGTAAAGTCGTAGGAGTTCACGATGTTAGGAGTGCTCTGCGATTTAGATCTCACAATGTTATCATCTATCCAGTCGCATTTTGGTAAAATCATACTTGTTATTGTTCACTTTTTCATGTTAAGAATTTTGTATAAAGCGCATGTCCATTCTATCAATTAGTTTTAAAATTTTTGATAGTGTAGCAGCATGAGAGAAATAACACATAATTTTAATCATCCCGACTGATCTGAAAATTGTTAATTGTGCAAAATAGTTTCCCTTGACATGTATAATGTATAGATTTTGTCAATGTCCCTCCATCTCATTCTCTTGAGTCCTTCCACAAATTAGTTGCTGAGAATGGCGGCACTTTCTCAATGAATTTGAATAACTCAGTCACCCATTGTGTTGCAGCAGACAGCAAGGGTTCTCTCTCTATCTCTGACATCAGCTTGAAAAATAGAGTTTTATTGGCTGCAAATTTAATAAGGACTGCTATTTGTCTGTAGGGTTTAAATTTGAAGCAGCAAAACGCCGTGGTGATATCATTCATTATACCTGGGTACTAGATTGCTATGCACAAAAGAAACTCATCCGCTTACAGCCGAAGTGAGTTTCTGACTGAATATAGACTTTCGTAATTCTATAAAGCTCTTTTGATTGTATGTTGCTTTCAATGTTTCCTTTGAAAGATACTTCCTCTTCCTATCTGAAGAGACCAAGAAGAAGCTACAAGAAGAAATTGACGAGTTCTCGGACTCTTACTACTTGGATCTCAATCTTGGAGACATCAAACAGGTAAGTTGCATTAGTGTGTGTATACCCGAGTTTTCCTCTTTTCCTTGTGTGCCATGTATGTTCTACTGTAAGGTGCATTGTTTATATTATAATGTAGCTACTTCATTGATGTGCCATGGTTTTTTCCCTTTAGTAATATTTAACAAAGATCTACTTCGTTCATTCCTCGGTATATTTAGTTACTTTTCATTCATCATTTTGCAGCTCTTGGGCAATGTTAACAGGTCAGAAGATGTCAGTACTGTCGATCATTACAGGAAAAAATACTGCCCAAAGGATAAGTGGTCTGTCTTCAATGGATGCTCCATTTATTTCCGAAACACAATGCCATCATTGTAAGCTACAGTAAATGTGAAATTGGATCTATGTTTTTCACTAAGCACATAATATGGGATTTAGGATTTTGGTCATGATCGTATAAAATTTTCCTAATCTTTGTTGCTTTCTGATTGTTCTGTATTTTCATACAGGAAAGAAGATTGGCGATATTTATTGGAACTTTCTTCAAAGAGACTCAAGCTTGAAGTTCTTATGGGTGGTGGAAAATACACCTCTAATCTCAATTTTGCAACTCATGTAGTGGCTTTGTTCACACCAAGTTATCATACCAACTATGAAGAAGAAATACAGAGCAGGTAAGCGATCTGTTTGTTGGCAACTTGTGTGTTGAATGTTTATCATTGACTACTTACATTTGGTTTGAAAGAAAATGTAAATTTTAATGATTGGTGTATGATTTATTTATTATTTATAGCCTTTAACACGTTTATTTTGGGTTTCATTTTGTGTAGTTTCACTTCAGTTGAGAGAAAACTTCTCCGAAGCAAGAGGTTGCATGTAGTTAATTCCAAGTGGTTAGAAGATTGTTTGAAGAGTAGCCAAAGATTATCAGAGGACACTTATAGCTTGAAGTCCTATGGAATAGAAGAGTCAACTGCTGAGGATTGGTAAGTTAATGCATGGAAGCATTTACAATCTCCCCCTTATTTGGAGACAAGGATTTAAATCTCTGCATGTAAATGCATTGATGTTGTTATATACGGTTATCTCTGTCCCTCAATATAAGTCATTGTAGCAACAAAAAAATCTTATATTTATATGCCAAAATATCAACAAAGTATTAATTTCTGGCTGTTTTAGTGAACATGACTTGGCGGTGGATGCTCATCTGGTTGAAGATAATGTAGAAAACCAAAATGAATCTTTCTCTAGTAAGGAAAGTAAACAGAGTAGTGCAAAAGCTGCTTCTCAAGACAGTTTGGCTTTGGCATCACAGGGGGGCCGTGGTCAAAGGAAACGAGGAAGACCTGCAAGCAGAGGTGTTAAAAAAATAAAAACAGACGGAAACCAAACTCGAAGATCAAGATCGCAAATTGCAAAAAAACGTGCGAAAATAAGTGAATATGAATCAGATGAAAGTGATTCTCTTGAGAAAAGACCATATGAGCAAGAGGTTGACATTACAGAAGGAAGTTCTGGATTTCACAATGAACAATCAGAACTACACGAGACTGAGAAAACTCGCAATGTCCAAGGTGCTGAAGGAGTAGAAATTTCTAAACAAAACAAGAAAGTTGAGCTAGAGGATTTCAACTACAACCAAGATGAAAATATGTTGGCTCCTGAAATCGGATTAGATGATGGGCGCAATGACCAAAGCAGTCAGGTGATCGAGAAGCTTGAAATTATGACTGATCCTATGCAGGCAATGTTACTTGATATGATTCCTAGTCTTGCTATGAATAAAGTTGAGCAACCTACGAATCGTCGTGTTGAAGAAGAGAAGCGACGGGAAATCTCCCAGGAAGAGCCTTCGAGTACAAAGAAAAAGAAAATTAGTTTCAAGGCTATGGCTGCTGACTTGCTCAAGGATTGGTAGAGCATTATAGATGGATTACTAAGTTATCAGTGTATGGCTAACAAGTTCTTGTTTAAACTAATTGTTATTTTATTTGCTTGTGAATTTCATACCTGGTTTATTTCTAGATGTGACTGATTCTATCTTTTTCTGTTTTTGTTTGCTCTATCAATCAAAGGTTTTCAAATAAGTTTCTATTGCAATTTTGCGATGCAGGTGTATCATGTTCCAACTACACCTTGAACCTCTTCACTCCACATTTACAATAACATACCTCTCCACTCTACATTTACAATAACATTCATTTATATGATATTCAATTAAAGATACACTTTTCAAGACAATAAAGCTCCTCAATAATTGGAAATTTGAGTAGGAAGTAGAAATAGGACAAGAAACTAGGTAGTAAATAACACAATAATTAGGAACTCTAATAAAAACATGAAAGCCAAGGTTCTTCAACTCAACACTTCTATACTAACGATTTAAAAATGATAAATACTATATATATGCACTTCATCAGACGCTCATAGGACTTAGAGGATCATTTAGAGATGCAATGGCTGTTTGGATCTTTATCTCCAATAGATCTTTATCATCCTCGTTTGCCTGAAAAAGGATCGAAACAAAGTAACACAAAATGCACATGTTAGTTTTTTCATTAGCAAATTTTGTTTGTATAAATCATGTTAATTTTTCCACCACTTTTCTAAAGATCCATTAGTCCAAAAGCAAATAACAGTAATAACACATTTCAAATTATAACTTTAGAGACTTTTAGGATTTTTTTTTCCTGAATGTCCTCTTTTGAAATAGAAAATGCCATAATACCTTACTTTAAAATTTAATTACAGAACTGTCTCATTTCAGTGGGTGCTCGTCCACCGAATGGGCGAGCGTGTGCAGCATAAATGACCTTTGAATGAGTTCGTCCACCCAGTGGGCGAGCATGTGAGGGAGTTAATTTTTTTTTTATTTTTTTTTGTTTTATTTATTTAATGATGATAAATAAATGATAATTTTTATTAATGATGATAAATGATAAATGATAAATGATAATAATTTTTTACACATAATAATGATAAAAATTAATAATTTTTTAATGTTAATTATATATCATCATTAAGTGTAATGTCCAAGAAATGATTAACATTTATATCATCATTAAGTGTAATATATCATTATTAAGTGTAATATATCATCATTAATTTTTTATCATAATTTTTCTTTATCATAATTTTTATCATAATTCTAGAAATTATTAGTGTAAAAAATTATTAACATAAAAAAATTATTATCATTTATCATCTATCAACATTAATAAAAATTATCATTTATCATCATTAAATAAATAAAACTGAAAAAAAAAAATAAAAAAAAATTTACTCCCTCACACGTTCACCCATTAGGTGAAAAACCTCACTCAGGACCATTTACGCTGCATACGCTCGCCCACTCAGTGGACGAGAGCCCCCCAAAACAGGGCATTGTGAAAAAAAAGTCAGACTTTTACACCTTATTTAAAAAAATATTTTTGTGGGGTGAGGAAGAGTAGGTTTGGTGGAAGCTTCTAGTTTCCAAATAATGCAACAATTAATAATCGCATAGTAAAAAAAATGTAAATTGCATGGAAAAAATATTAGCATTAGAATTAGAAGAAAAACGTGCGTGAAAAATAAAAAACCGCACGACGCGGTGTTACTCGGTGGAAGTCACGCCGAAATATAAAACACGTTTTCAAATTTTGGTTTTTTTCTTTGTCCCCCTCTCATGTAACCTTTATACTCACTCTGTCTCTTTGTCCTTGTGTCACATGTAGTATTTTTATGTTCTTTGTTTTTTTTTTTGAATGCGAGTATTCTATTTAGATACTCCTTCCTCCCTATCAATTTATAAAAAATAAAACTTACTTTTTAAAAAAGTTATAAATAAAAAATATTTATTTTATTTTATTTAACTACTTTATTGTAAAAGTTTATTTTTTAAAAGTAAAATTAAATGCAAACTGCATTTAATTTAGTGTATCTCTCATTTTTTTATAAACAACATCCAAAATTTTAATTTTTCTCAAAATATATTTAAAAAAAGACAAAAAATAATTTTAATTTAAATAAATATGAAATATTAGTCTTGTTTATAAATTGATAGGAGTAGTAGTATATGTTTAAACTCGTCGAAAATATTTGTTTTATTTTTTTTTTTGGAATTTGAGTTTTAGACTCACAAAAACTTTTGCGAGTATAAAGACCACCTCCAACGGTGATTTTTTAAATTGGTTTGACAACTTGACATTGAAATTGTCAACAAAAAGTTGTTCCAGCTGGTGAACGTTGCAAACATAAGCAATGGTTCTTTATTTTTTTTTATTATTAAAATAATTTCATTTAAATTTAATAAAAAGTTATTAATTTTTATTTTTATGGTTCTTCATTTTTTTTATTATTTTTTATTATTTTTTATTATGTGACATGTATTTAAATTTAATTTTAATTATTATTTTCAATTTTATGTTTAATTTTAATTTTATGTTTAATTTGTATTTATATTAATTAAAATTTAAATATTTAAATTATAATTTTAAATAAAATAAATTTAATATAAATAATATATTTTAAATAAAGTGGTGGGATCCAATATGAGTTCTTTGGAGTTACACCATTAAAATAAAAATTAAATGAATTGCTTTAAAAGAGTGAGACTCACAAAGAACCTAAAAATGAATTGCTCTCTGTGCTCTAAATATTAAAGAAAAAAAACACTATTTAAAATTTTTAAAAGTGTAAAATCTGTATGTTTTACCTCACTCTTTTTTTGGAGCAGATTATGTTTATGTTTGTCTCCCACAATATTTGTTTGAGCGCAGACATGTTCTATTTTTTTGGGATGGACCTAAGCCTAGAGGAAATAGCAACTTGCCTCCCACTATTTTTAAGTTGTATTTACTGTATAAAGTTATCACTATTCATCACTTTACTAAACTAGAACATTCTAGTTTAGAGACCTCATGATTGAATACCTTTTTATATAAAAAGTATTAAAAAAAATTCATTATTCACTTAATGGATGCTCCACTTTGTAAAAAGTGTTGTATTGGTGTTGAAGCATGTAGACCCCTCATTCAAGCTGTTATGTTTTACTTTGTCTTTTAATTTTGAAACGTAAATTTTGAGTAAAGAAGTGAAATTAAAGGATAGAAGAGAAAGTAAGGTAACCTGGATGAAGAGTGTCTTCAAAAGTGTGCCAGAAAAACAAGTGATATTGGCAGTGATGATTTTAAGGTTCAAAGATTCGAAGACTTGACACAATTTAACCATAGTGTCTGTCCTTTTGCTACATGTCAAACTCACAACTGTTGTATTCTCTCCCATGTATGTTACCCTAAGCTGCACTCCACCATATCATTCAAAATCATCATTAATATTTCTTTATATAATCAATCATATTTATAATAATAATCATACCCCACGACTAACTTTTTTTAACATCAATAATTCAAAAGAGAGAGATTATGCTTTGTATGTGTTAACCTCAAGAAGTTCAATTGGAGAGTTTGTTGAATTCACAGAATCATAAAATTGATCTGTTCTCTTCTTTTTGGACCTCAGCAACACAGGAAGCTCATGATCAAAATCACAACTTTGATTAATAATATTATTTGGCATCCCAGATTGAAGCTCCATTATCTCAGCTTCAATCTTCTTCTCTTGTTCATGCAAATGTTTTATGTACTCAATTGCATCCCTAATAACCGAAGCCTTATCCATCTAGAAGAAGAAAAAAATTGTCACCACTCATCACGATCGAGAATCATCTCAGATCGAAAAGAACCAAACGGAGTAATTAATCAATGGCCACAAAAATGAATTAATGATGTTTACCTTGCTAATATTAGGGACCACTGCTCTAAGTGCAAAGAGTCTTTGATTGAGTTTGTTCCTTCTATTTCTCTCAGAAACAATGTTCTTTGATGAAGCTGCACCATCGGGAGAGCTTGAATCATAGTATCCTGAAAACGTTTCATCCAATCCCCAGCTGCCACCACATCCATCTCAATTATCAATACTCTAATTAATTTAATTTCAGTAATTGAATAAAGAAAATTAACTATAATTTTGTTACCTATCAAGCTCTTGTGTTTGGAGGAACATGTTGGTCTCCCAGTAACGTTTGTACTCTTCATCATTAATATTCTCCATGCTTGTTTTAAACTTGAAATTGAACTGGAAACAGACACCGAGGAAAAGAGAATATATATGATGCTTTATTGATTGAAGGAAATTTAAGGTGGTTGGTTAATTGGGTGTCTTTTGCTTTGCCTACTTTGTTTATATATACACATAGGTCTGTAATTTAATCACGCGTTGTTTTATCACTTTAGATAAAAATAATTGAGTGTATAGCTTCTTTCTTTCTTTTGTAATAGCTCCAAAATTCAAGCAACACTTTTCTTGGCGCTTTAAAGAAGGACATAGTATATATAGGTACAAAATTCAGAAAATGAACCTCAAGTAATTTCAACTTACACAAACGTAAGCTTTCTCGTAATCCACTTTCAAAACTAAGCAACTCCTCTTATCTCGTTTTGCCAAGTCCAATACTTCATTAACCAAGTCCATACAAATGTGATATTTAGTTGGAAAAATGAGTGACAAGTACTATACTCTTTGGTCAATGACACCGCGTCATACAACATGATATTTTATGAACTATAATTTATTGGTACCTTGTCATATACTCTAACTACAATTGGTATTCTAATTTCATGACTTAATTGAGTTTTATTTAAATTGATGGTCCCTTTCAAGAAATATTAATGCATCCACATAAGGAATCAAATGTCTAATCATAGGGATATTGTTCTACATTTTGTAGTATGGTGTTCACACTCTATCTTAGTATCACAACAATTTTAGAACAAGTCTAATTTTATAATGTTATTACTATGTTTTTGTTTATAGGTATTTTTAGTAAATGATCACGAGTTTTAGTTTATTTGTATAATTAAATTTAAAAATTCTAAATGATATTATGTACAAAATGTTTGAGAAATGTAATAGTGTTAATTAATAGGATTTTTAATGTAAATAACAAAAGAAACAGAATAAAAGTACTTAAACTAACCAAAACAAGTAAATAAGTAAACAACAATAAAACACTTAAAACGCTTGAATTGAAAATGAAACGTTTTTTAATACATTTCTCACAAATTCTTTATCTCAATAAATCATATGTATGAGTTCTAAAGAGAACAAATGAATTGCAACCCTTGGTTTAAGAGTCGAAATTCGCTTATATCTAGCACTACAAGAAAAGTTGTGTCCAGCTACGTGATTTAGTGAAGTGAAAATCACGTGACAAAATATAGACAGTTGTGAAATGATTTTTACGTCACTAACTTGTTTAATATTAAAATAATAAGAAACAAATGTAGCACATGGTCTGTCAGATTCAAAAATAAAAAAAACTTTTATGACGTGAAAATCAGTCGCAACATGTAAATTAAAAAAAATAATAATTAAAACGACAGATCTACTGAAGCGAGAAGGGGGAAATTTTTAAAATTTGGGTTGTGACGTGAATATCACGTCGCAACCATTAGGAGGGAAAAATATCTAACGTAGAGGTGATGGTTGACTGTGCTGTAGGTTGACTGACAAAAGCAAAATGACCGTTGGATTTTTTGCGACGTGAATTTCACGTGGCAAAGTTGCGACGTGAAATTCACGTCACTAAGATTTTATTTATGACATGCGTGTCAATTTCCCATACCACATTTTGTTCCATCTTTGTTTCCTCTTCTCCTTTGTTCTTCTTCTTCTAAATTTTTTCTTTATTTTTCTTGAGTTGTTTAATTTCTTCATTTTTCGTCTTCAGGTAATATATATTTTCCCTTAATATGATTATTGTTGAATTTATTTTTATTAATTTAGTTTAAAATGAAATTTTATATGAGTTTAATATTTGTTGATTGTTATTGAGAAAAGAAAACAAGGAGATTGATGAAGATAATTGTCTAGAAGATTGAAAGAGTGTGAAGAAGAGGTATTTTTGCTATTTAATTTTTTATTTTAGTTTGATTTATTAATTTTGGATTGTTGTTAGATGTATAATTTTCTGTATGTTTTTTCTGAATATTTAAATTTGTTCTGTTTTAATTTTTTCTGAATTTATTTTATGTTTAAATGTTTAGATATGTTCTATTTTTAATACATTTAAATAATTTATTTTTAATGTTTAGAAAACATCTAAATAGAATATTCTGGTTTTAAAGTTATTTATATGTCAAAACAGAAATATTTATATGTTCAATTTATTTTTTAATGTTTAGAAATAGAATATTATATTTAAAAATAAATTATTAAAAACATAAACATATTATTTTTAATATTTTATTTATTTATTGGTTATAAAATATTAAAAATAGAATATTAATAAAATATAAAAACAGAATATTAAATTTATTTGTAATGTTTTATTATTTTTAATATTTATGCGTTATTAAAAACAAATTCCTATATATAGTATAAATTTATATATTAAAAACTGAATATTAAAAATTAAATATATTATTTTTAATATTTTTATTTTTATTTGATTATATTTACATTAGAAACAATATTATATTTATATTATTATTATTTTTTATTAGAAAAATATTTTTGTTATTATGTGTTATTAAAAACAAATTTTAATATATAGTATAAATTTATAACCTTTATTCTTAATTTTGATATTTATTTATATTTATTAATTTTCCAATTTAAATTATTATTAAAAATAATTTGTATTTATTAAATTGAGTGGAAAAACTATAATTATAATTTTAAACTTAAATAAAAATATAAACTATTTTTAAACATACCAAAAAATTAATCAATTTAAAAAAAAAACACTTAGCCACGTGCTATTCACGTCGCAAGTTGTGAAGTGAAAATCAGGTCGCAAGTTGTGAAGTGAATATCACGTCACAAGTTGTGAAGTGAAAATCACGTCACAACTTTCTTACACACGTCTGCCACTTTGTCTGCTACGCCTGCTGTGACTGAAACTATGTTTTATTTGTTGCGACGTGAAAATCACGTGGCAAAGTTGTGACGTGATTTTCACGTGGCAACAAAGTTGTCACATGTCCTCCTACCACGTGAATAGTCACGTCACAAATATTAGTTTGTGAAGTGATTTTCAAGTTGTGAAGTGAATTTCACGTGGCAAGATCCAGTTTTTTTGTAGTGTAGGTACACTATCAACTATCAGTAACAATTAACTCTTCAAATTCTAACAGGTATATTACTGTTAGCTTGAGATTTTGAGCTAAGTAAACGATCAACAAATTTATGGTCAAGCTACGTTGATGTTGTTGAATGCATAAAGGCTCAATCCCAAAGCAACTTCAACATAATTTCCTGTATTAACATGTTGGTTCGACTAAGCTGCAAGTAGAGTCGAGGGATAAAGAACAGTTTGGAGAAGTCTCAAGAACATATCTACAAGATTAGAATCACTCTTTCTTTTAAACATGGTTAGAATATTGAAAGATAAGATAACAACCTTTTGACACGAAATATGAAGTCAACACTGTTAAGTGTAAAGGACTTAGGATATTTATAAGTCCAAAAACTAAGCGACTTGGAATGGCATCCACCTTTCGACGGGGGCAAGTAATGCCTTTATAGACGGTTATCGCTAGTTATCACCATGTTCAGGTTGGTTTTCAACAGTTACATCCTTGAGGACGTGCGGAGACAAGTTGAAATATGAAGGCCTGAGTAATGGTCGCATATTTTCATAAACTTCTCTTTAGAATCAAAGTACCCGAGTCACATAGAGAAACAAACATGTTAGTCTGCATCCACCATTTTAAATTTACGAAAATATTTTTGCATTCAAAGCATTTACATTAAATTTCATTTACTTCATTTACATTATTTGTCTTTTACTGTCTTTATTCAAAATCTATCTTCTGCATTCAATTTATCGCTATCCAAACATTTAAATCCAAGTCACACACACTTTTCACTGTAACTTGTCTTTGCACAAATTGTCTTTGAGATATTTCGAGTTAATATTTTAAATGAACTAAACTCGTGATTATTTGCTAAAAACACTAGTAAAAAAATTGGTACACCCAGTGAGACCTTTTGCGTAAAGAGTTTAATTTTTGTTTTTACAAAAAAGTTATGTCTCTTTTGTCCAAATTTTTTGTTATTTGTTTATGAAATGACTTCGGTTGTCGAGTGTGTATGCGTCTAAAGAGTGGAAATTATCTTAATGAAATGACACATCCACCGTCTAGAAACCTCCCCCTCCCTAGAATAATGCTCTGAACTTAGAAGAACAACCAGTCCAATAGACGACGGGCAATGTAGGAACTTCAACTTTTGTC